CAGGGCAAGTTTCCAGGACTGTGGTGGATATTATGGTAGCCTCCAGCCACATGGAGTTATTTAAGTAAAAAATGTAGTTCCTCTGTTGTCCTAGCTACATGTTAGATGCTCGATTGTCACATGGTGGGTAATTTATTGGACAGTTCAGGTTTAAAACGTTTCTATCATTGCAGAAAATTCTATTGGACAACACTATTTGAGGTTACCTGATTTCTGGCCTTGTGTGTTCTATCAGATCACTTGAGTTCTTTAAGGAATAATCAGAATTTCTTTCTGACGAATCCCCTCAACTCTAGAATGAAAGATATAGAGCCGGGCTGGGCGCGGTGACTCACACCTGTAATCCCAGCACTTTGGGAGGCCGAGGCGGGCAGATCCCCTGACATCAGGAGTTCGAGACCAGCCTGGCCAACGTGGTGAAACCCCGTCTCTATTAAAAATACAAAAAGCCGGCACGGTGGCTCAAGCCTGTAATCCTAGCACTTTGGGAGGCCAAGGCGGGCGGATCACGAGGTCAGGAGATCGAGACCATCCTGGCTCACACGGTGCAATCCCATCTCTACTAAAAATACAAAATATTAGCCAGGCGTGGTTGCAGGTGTCTGTAGTCCCAGCTACTCGGGAGGCTGAGGCAGGAGAATGGTATGAACCTGGGAGGCGGAGCTTGCAGTGAGCCGAGAGCCGGCCACTGCACTCCAGCCTGGGTGACAGAGCGAGACCCCGTCTCAAAAACAAAAACAAAAACAAAAAAAAACAAAAAGTAGCCAGGTGTGTTAGTGCACGCCTGTAATCCCAGCTGCTCAGGAGGCTGAGGCAGGAGAATCGCTTGAACCCATGAGGTGGAGTTTGCAGTGAGCCGAGACTGCCCCATTGCATTCCAGCCTGGGCAACAGCAAAACTCCATCTCAAAAAAAAAAAAAAAAAAGAAGAAGATATAGAGTTGAAAAATAGATAATTGGGATTTATCCACCTAGATGTGAGAATGGGTAGGATTGCCCAAAGACTAGAACAGAGCATTCCATCATGAGAAGAGCCATAGAAGGAAGGGAGAGAGAAGGCAGGAAGGAAACCTGGGATAATTATTACTCTCATGCAGAGTAAATAGCATTTGATAATTCACTTGTAAATATTTATTGTATGCCCGCTGTATGCCAAGTGTTAGATTAGGTGCTAGGGGTATACTGAAAAGCAAAAATGGGCATGACCACTGTTACAGAGTTCTCAGTTTATGGAGTTTTACAGGAGGAACTGGGTTGAAGATTCAGGAACGCCCATCCTCCTGCACTTGCCATATTGTAAAACACTCCATTCCTAGAAGTTGGAATTGGAGGCTGAAACGGTTGAAGTTATTATTTAAGGTTAGTTACATAACCATTGTGCAGTCACTGCTTCAGCTTCTCAGGAAGTAGTAAAAAGAAACACCATAACTTGAGAACTTTGGGGGAATAAAGTATCTGTATTGATGGAGGGCAGGAAGGGTAGTTCGTATTATCCTGCGTCTGTCAGCCACACTCTCTGCTGCCCACTGGATTCCTCTTCTGGCTTCTCTTATTGTCAGTGTAAGTAGTCAGTCACCACATATTTCCCAATGCCTGGTGAAGACATACTTCACTTCTCAGTCTGTTACCTGCTCATTCTTCAGTTTCCAGCAAGTGCAAACAGATGCCCCTTGGAACGCACAGCATTTGAAAGTGGGGCCTGCCCATAGCACCATCATCATTTGAGGCTCCAGGTTTAGGATTTTAGATTTATAGCTGCATCAATTCCTTCACAGAGACTTGCTGAATTGTCTTTTTGACCTCTCTGGCCCACGTTATATTAGCAGCCTCTTCACTAATCTCTGACTCTAGATTTCTCCATGGTAGGCTGCCTACACACAGCTGTTAAGTGTTCTTTGGATGCTGTTGTTTTACTGTGAAGCTCAAAACCTGGCAGCTGTCTCCTCTTGATGATGTTAAATGTGAACTTTTCAGCCTAGTATTCTTTCGACACCTCTGTCTTTTTTTGTGACTCACCGAGGCAGCTCCTGTGGTTCGGTCAACTAGATCTGCTTTTACCCCGACCTATGGCTTGCCATTGGCGAAATCTGTGCTGCCACTTACGCTTTTTAAAATGGAATGGCCCCGTCCACTCCATTTCTTCTTTATCAGTCCCCTTGGCTCCTAGCCGTCTCTAACTGGGAGGTTTCTGGAAACCTGTACTGGCTAATACAGGACTTTTTTACCTCCTTAGTGCTCATATACTCGCACTAAAGTCTTATTCATTTGAATTTGCATCTCCTCAGCTGTCATTTGCTCACTTTGCCTTGCATTGTCTTGTGTTTGCAGATGGAAATAAAACTGATTTTTGAAAATCAGGTTTCTTTTTTCTTTGCTTATGGACATGAAACTTGTGCAGAGGGCATAAGTGCTGCCTTGAGTGTAGGCAGGTTTCCAGGAGAAGCGTGTTAGAGGCTTGAGGACTGATAAGAGTCTGGAGTCTAGAGAGGCATCCTCTCTCTGCCCATAATTCCCTGTTTCACCTCATTGGGTGATCTCATCCTCTCTCTTTGCCTCAGCCTCTGTGACATGTTGATGCCTCTCAAATATATGCATTTAGTCCATTCCCCTCTCCTGAGCTTCATACCCATATATCATAGCTTGAGTCTTGGATCTTCCACAGGCAACTTAAACTAATTACATTTCAATATGAAATTGGTCCTCCTTTCTTCACCTTCCTTTTTATCTCCAAATTATGTCTCCTTGTGTATTTTTCATTTTGGTTAATGGGCATCTTCCAAATTAGAAGTCTTTGGTCAGTGTCTCTCTCTCTTTTTTTTTTTTTTCCCCTTGAGATGCAGTCTTGCTGTATCGCCCAGGCTGGAGTACAATGGTGCGATCTCGGCTCACTGCAACCTCCGCCTCCTGGGTTCCAGCGATTCTTCTGCCTCAGCCTCCCGGGTAGGTGGGACTACAGGCACCTGCCACCACTCCCGGCTAATTTTTGTATTTTTAGTAGAGACAGGGTTTTAGCATGTTGGCTAGGCTGGTCACAAACTCTTGACCGCGTGATCTGCCCACCTGAGACATTGTACCTGGCCAGTGTCTCCTTTTATTCCTTTGTCATTCCCCAAATGTCATCAGTAATTAAGTATGTCTTCCAGATTTCTCCTGGCTCTTCTTGCTCTCCATCCCCCTTGCTTCGGCCATTGTTGAGGCCTCATCTCTCTTCTGAATTTCTTGTCTTTCTCTTTTACTGATAGTCTACAACAAGCCATAAGGGTTGTTTTTCAAAAGAACGTCAACACTTCCATTGTTTGCAGGTTGTGTATTGCACAAAATTGCCACGTTCACACTTTAGAAATTGTAGGTTTGTGGCTGGGTGTGGTGGCTCATGCCTGTAATCCCAGCACTTTGGGAGGCCGAGGCAGGCAGATCACCTGAGGCCGGGAGTTCGAGACCAGCCTAACCAACATAGAGAAACCCCATCTCTACTAAAAATATAAAATTAGCCGAGCGTGGTAACACATGCCCGTAATCCCAGCTACTCGGGAGGCTGAGGCAGGAGAATCCCTTGAACCCAGGAGGCAGAGGTTGCTGTGAGCCAAGATTGCGCCATTGCACTCCAGCCTGGGCAAGAGTGAAACTCCGTCTCAGAAAAAAAAAAAGTTGCAGATTTGCATATTTATTATGACTGTCTTCTGGCAGATGGGAGTAAAATCTATTGTTCTAACATCAGTATGTTATGACAAGGAAGGAAAACCTATGACACATAAAGACACCTAAGCACTAGAGAACATCTTTTTTTTTTTTTTTTTTTTTTTTTGAGACAGAGTCTCACTTTGTCACCCAGACTGGAGTGCAGTGGCCGGATCTCAGCTCACTGCAAGCTCCGCCTCCCGGGTTCACGCCATTCTCCTGCCTCAGCCTCCCGAGTAGCTGGGACTACAGACGCCCGCCACCTCGCCCGGCTAGGTTTTTGTATTTTTAAGTAGAGACGGGGTTTCACCGTGTTAGCCAGGATGGTCTCGATCTCCTGACCTTGTGATCCGCCCGTCTCGGCCTCCCAAAGTGCTGGGATTACAGGCTTGAGCCACCGCGCCCGCCCTGAGAACATCTTTTTTATGTCCTTAGTTCTCTGGCAGGCAAACCCCTTCTCATCCTTTAAAACCACACATTAATATCCCTTCCTCGTGAAGCCTTTTAAAATATTCTCCACAAGAGTCAGTCAGTCCTTTTACTCGGCTAATGCCATATTTGGTTACTCTCTTCTTGTAGTGTTTATCACATTATACTGTAAATATTCGTGTATGATTCTATCTGTCCTACTGCACTCCGGGATCCTCAAGGACAGGGACAATGTCCCTATTTTATTCATCCTTTGACTTTCAATATGTAGCCTAATGTCCAGCACATATCAGTACATGTGTAATAGGCCAGGTGTGATGGCTCATGCTTATACTCCCAGCACTTTGGGAGGCCAAAGTGGGTGGATCACCTGAGGTCAGAAGTTTGAGACCAGCCTGGCCAACATGGTGAAACCCCATCTCCACTAAAAATACAAAAATTAGCCAGGTGTGGTGGCAGGTGCCTGTAATCCCAGCTACTCAGGAGGTCGAGGCAGGAGAATTGCTTGAACCTGGGAGGCGGAGGTTGCAGTGAGCCGAGATTGTGCTGCTGCATGCCAACCCGGGGGACAGAGCGAGACTCTATCTCTAAATAAATAAATAAATAAATAAATAAATAAATAAATAAATGTGTAATAAATATTTGAATTCTTAGCATGATTCAGGCAGGGAGGTAAATACTTGCTCACATTATCTCAGTTAATCTTCACAACAGCCTCCTGAGTCCCGTCATTATCATGGTTTATAGGTGAGAAAATTGAGACTAGGGTGGTGAAGTCACTTGCCTCAAGATAAACAGCTGGTAAATCACATGCATGGTGGCACTGGATGTGGTCCTGGAGGACTCGTGCTGGTGGATCTGTTTTTCTAGTGACTCTCTTGTTTTGTCCCTCAGACTGATGATGCGGGTGTGCTGGTTGGTGAGACAGGACAGCCGGCACCAGCGAATCAGACTTCCACATTTGGAAGCAGTTGTGATTGGGCGTGGCCCAGAGACCAAAATCACTGATAAGAAATGTTCTCGACAGCAAGGTAACTGGTCATAGAAATGTGGAGATTACTGTGTTTGGTTATGTGGGATAGTGATAACCAAAGATGCATATTTTCTGGGTGCTCTTGACGGAAAATCTGTTGTCTGCCAAAAATACTGCTCAGGGACTGAGCTCTTTTAGCCAACACCAGGGCCCTATTTATTCCTGATTCTGCCCTCCCAGTGTGGTAATGTTCAAGGCAGGGTGGGTGAAGGTTGGGAGCAGGCAAGTTCATCCTGTTACCATGGGATGGTGGAATTGAGTCCTGCCCTTCTTTCCCCAGGGACGTTGCTCAATGGGCAGCAAGATGTAAACTCTGGAGTCTACAGGTGAAACCATGTCTCTCCGAGAAGTAATGGGGTAGTGCCATCCTTTACATATTGCCTCACGCAGAGAGTAACATCTTTATGAGACAATGGCATCTAGCACTTGTCTTAGGGTTTAATAACATGAAAGTCCTTGCCCTCAGAAAAAAATCCTTACCATGTATCTTGTTTTTTCCTGTAAACATGCACACTGCTGCCTGGAGTGTGACTCCCCACAGCAAGGTTTCCCAAGGGTTCTGAACTTAGAGAGTTGGCATCTGCAGCACTGATTATGATCTTTTCTATATGAGTTAATCTAAGTGGAGGGATACAAAGCCATGCCTGAGCTGGGTAGGCCCAAGATGCAGAAGCAGCGGCTGCTTCTCTCTCTGTTCCCTTCCTCACAACAGCAACTGAAGGGGCATGTATGTGGCACCCTGTCCTCTCTGGGGAGCAGCTGTGGTGGTTCTTCTTTCCTCCCTGTTTCAACTCCAGATACTTTGTGCATTTATCAGAACAGGAATGCTTAATGTTACCACTTCTCACACATGCTCAGATTGTTCTGTCTCTGCAATCATCTTCCTAGAACATTCTTTCTACTCCTTCCACCCAAAGCCACCTGAGTTTCTGTCTTCCAGGAATGTGTCTTTTACTGTTTTCTCTTTTAAAGTCATCTGATAGTTTTTGTTTTTCCAAAATAATATTGGAAGCCAGATTTAATCCTTGGTCAAGAGTTTGTGTGAGAAATGGGTCTTTTTTTTCCTCCTGAGACAGGGTCTCAATCTGTTGCCCAGGCTGGAGTGTAATGGTGCGATCTTGACTCACTGCAACCTCCGCCTTCTGGGGCTCAAGTGATTCTCCCACCTCAGTCTCCCAAGTAGCTGGGGCTACAGGCACGTGCCACCTGGCTAATTTTTGTATTTTTTTTGTAGAGACGGGGTTTTGCCACGCTGCCCAGGCTGGGAGAAATGGGTCTTCTTTTCTGGCGGCAGAGTCTGTGATCATGAGCAGGCCAGGGGTTCTGGAATAGGGAAACTTGTGGGGATTAATTGAAGCTGCCTCATGGGGATCTTGGCAATAGCTAAGGGAATATGTATGCTGTTGGACATTTTATGGAAGGATTTAAACCTTTAGAAATTGGTGGGATTTGGAGCTCCAGCCACCTGCATAACAGGTGATTGCTAATAGGCCTTTAAGGAAACATCTGTGCAGCTGCCTCCTGTAGTGAAGCTTCATTGTTTTCTTTTGGGAAAATAGGAGCAAGTGCCTGGTTCTTTGTTGCATTTGTGTTTAACTTTTTCCAATCTCTTTTAGTACAGTTGAAAGCAGAGTGTAACAAGGGATATGTCAAGGTAAAGCAGGTAGGTGTATTTATAACTTGGAATTTTATACTTGATGATTTTCTTATGCTGTTGACTTTAGAGTGTCTGTGCCAGCCAGTGAAGGCTTCTCTGTCATGTATGGAAGTGATGGAGTAATATAGGTGAACATTAGGCAAGGTGCTTGGCATATAGTAAGTGGTTAATGTAGCAGTGGCTATCTTACTGTAGGTGCTGTTGCTGCTATTATAATTATTTTCTGATTATTTATCCCATAGGTAGGAGTCAATCCCACCAGCATTGACTCAGTCGTAATTGGGAAGGACCAAGAGGTGAAGCTGCAGCCTGGCCAGGTTCTCCACATGGTGAATGAACTTTATCCATATATTGTAGAGTTTGAGGAAGAGGCAAAGAACCCTGGCCTGGAAACACACAGGAAGAGAAAGAGATCAGGTGATAGTGATTCTATAGAAAGGGATGCTGCTCACGAAGCTGAGCCTGGGACAGGGCTGGAACCTGGGAGCAACCATAACCAATGCTCCGTGCCTCCAAAGAAGGGAAAAGATGCACCTATCAAAAAGGTGAGGGTAGTGTGATTGGTAGATGATGTGGAGAAGAAATGAAATATAATGACTGCTTAATTGTTTTGTACACTGTAAAGTTCAGAAATGTGTGAGGGGTTGTTAACCATGATGAAAGAGTCACTTGTTTGTGGCATGAAAATCATTTAGATGAATGTTCCTTTATGTGCTTTTTCTTAAATTCCTGAGGTAAGCCACTTGAAGGTAGAGCAATAATGACAGTGTGCACTTAACACTGAACAACTAAAATGGATCAGTTGTTTATGCATCTATAGAAGGTTTTCATAGATCATGTAATTCATATGCTGATGTCAAAGTGGAGAATTGGTCAGGCTGTAGTTGGAGTGAGAGAGGGCAAAGAAGGTATGACTCATACTCTGGCATTTCTCACCTTCATCTAGACAGCCAGCTGTGAATATAGGAAGGCTGGCTGGGTGCAGTGGTTCACGCCTGTAATCTCAGCACTTTGGGAAGCTGAGGCAGGCAGATCACTTGAGGGTCAGGAGTTTGAGATCTGTCTGGACAGCATTGTGAAACTCCATCTCTATTAAAAATACAAAAATTAGCTGGGTGTGGTGGTGCACGCACGCTTGTAATCCCAGCTACTCAGGAGGCTGAGGCAGAAGGATTGCTTGAACATGGGAGGCAGAGGTTGCAGTGAGCTTAGATGGTGCCACTGCACTCCAGCCTGGGCAACAGAGCAAGATTCCGTCTCAAAAAACAACAACAATAAAATATGGCTGGGTGTGCTGGCTCATGCCTTTGATCCCAGCACTTTGGGAGGCCGAGATGAGCAGATCACCTGAGGTCAGGAGTTCGAGATCAGCCTGACCAACATGGTGAAACCTCCTCTTTACTAAAAATCCAAAATTAGCTGGGCATAGTGGTGCACACCTATAATCCCAACAACTCCAGAGGCTGAGGCAGGGGAATCGCTTGAACCTGGGAAGCAGAGGTTGCAGTGAGCCGAGATCACGCCATTGTACTCCAGCCTGGGCAACAAGAGCGAAACTCTGTCTCAAAAAAAAAAAAAAAAAAGAATATAGGGTCGGGTGTGGTGGCTCACGCCTGTAATCCCAGCACTTGGGGAGGTGGAGGCGGGTGGATCACCTGAGGTGAGGAGTTCAAGACCAGCCTGGCCAACCTGGTGAAACTCCATCTCTACTAAAAAATACAAAAATTAGCTGGGCGTGGTGGTGGGCACTTGTAATCCCAGCTGCTTGGGAGGCTGAGGCGGGAGAATCACTTCGGAGGCTGCAGTGAGCTGAGATCGTGCCACTGCACTCCAGCTTGGGTGAGACAGAGCGAGACTGTCTCAAAAAAAAAAAGAATATAGGAAGGCTATGGAGTGAAGTAAAGTCAAGTGAATCTTGTTTAATTCTCAAAAACTAAATTTATTTCCAAGTTTAGTTGTGCTGTCACACAGTATTAACTATTGCCAAATTTAATTATTGGCATCTATAATTTACATTGCTTGTTTTTTTTTGTTTTTGTTTTTGTTTTTTTTTTTAGGAATCACTGGGCCACTGGAGTCAAGGCTTGAAGATTTCTATGCAGGACCCCAAAATGCAGGTGAGAATACAATTTTGGAATTTCATTACCTTTCATGTTGTAAATGACTACTCCACAGAGGTCTTAATTACAAATGAAATCAAAGGATGTCAGTCTTTCCGAATGAGATTCATTTTATTGGGCTTTTCTGTGAGAACAAGAGGTTTTTCCCATTGGCAATAAAGTAGCAACTGGAATTGTTTGGAGAGAAAGCTAAGTTCTTCAAATGAATATCCCCTCTACCTTGTCCGTTTTAAACTTCTGGGTACTTTAAGGGAAGTTGTGTTAACCTTAGTATGGTTCCTTTCAGGGGAGCATCAGAGATAATATACTGTGACAGTGGTACTGTGCTGCCCTGGCATTAACAGTGAGACATCCCTGTAATCCCTGCACTTTGGGAGGCCGAGGTGGGAGGATCACCTGAGGTCCAGGAGTTTGAGATCAGCCTGACCAACATGGAGAAACTCCGTCTCTACTAACAATATAAAAAATTAGCTGGGCGTGGTGGCGCATGCCTGTAATCCCAGCTACTCGAGAGGCTGAGGCAGGAGAATTGCTTGAACCTGGAGGTGGAGATTGCGGTGAGCTGAGATCACGCCATTGCACTCCAGCCTGGGCAACAAGAGCGAAACTCCAGCCGAGACGGGTGGATCACGAGGTCAGGAGATCGAGACCATCCTGGCTAATACGGCAAAACCCCGTCTCTACTAAAAATACAAAAAACTAGCTGGGTGAGTTGGCGGGCACCTGTAATCCCAGCTACTCGGGAGGCTGAGGCAGGAGAATGGCGTGAACCCAGGAGGCGGAGCTTGCAGTGAGCTGAGATCCGGCCACTGCACTCCAGCCTGGGCGACGGAGTCTCGCTCTGTCGCCC